CAGGCGGTGCTGGCTGCCCGCTCACAGCTCCATGCGGAGAAGCTCCTCACTGAGCATGGGGCCCATCAAAGCTTCCTACATAGATATATCTTTTTTTTTCTTGGAATATGGATCGCCCACAAACATATTTCTCAAGGCATGGGGAATACATTTGTCTCTACGCAAGGTCTCTTAGAAGCTGACCTCTAAAGGCAATGCCTTCAAGTGCAGCACGAGTTATTACTCATCCCTTGCCGGGCAGCTCAACGGAAGCAGGCAAGTTTGACATCCCAAATCAGGATGCAAGTCGCCAGGAGGAAATACACAATCTGTAAATATTATTCTTAGCCAACGTTTGGGGCTGTGGAAAGGCCCCCAAAAGCACTTTGTTTAAAACGCTTCCTACGCTTCTCCAATTAATCTGGTCGTCTTCAGGTGAAGGGTTAACGGGCGCTGAGGGTCAGGGAAGGAAGCCGGCACCACAGATGCCTGCCTCCTGGCAGTCCCGAGGATGGATGAGACACAACCGGCCTCCACTGCAACGAGCTCCTTGACCCTTCAGCCAGAAACACATAAATACCAGGGAGAATTCTGATGAAAAATTTACTTTTAGGAAGCTTTCTGCCTCTCTTGCTAAGCCCCATGCCCCAGAGCTCTGTAGCAGAGCTGCTAATCTCCGCAGCTCCCTCCCTGTGCTCCTCTCCCTGCCTAAGGCCCTGGCCAGTGAAGCAGTGCTATAACAGTTAAACAAGTGCAAAAAAAGAGTTATATGAAGCTGAAAAACTGCAGATCTGTCATAAAAATTCATTTAGATTATTGAAGATTGCAATTCTGCACCGTGAAACCTACCAGCATCTTGCTCTGGCCAAACAACCACGGAGCCCTGTGAAATGCATGGAAGTTGAAGAAGTTGGAAGGACATCATTAATAAAAGGTAAACCTCTGAGAAGTGCTTTTAACACTTAAAGGAAAGCTCTTTTTGGTGTCAAGAGACCGAAGGCTTCTACTTCTGCTCCTTTTACATATTCTGTGAATTTTTAATGCTCATGAAACTAGAATGCACTTGGATAAATATTCAATTTGGTAGCATAGCAAAGAGGTGCAAGCTGAAAGTGCAATGGCACGTCTGCCTAATGCAACAAGAGCACACGAACAAAATGCACATGGATGACAAAATACTAATTGACAGAGAGAGGAAAGAAAAAAGAAAAGGAGAAGAATAAATGCCACTCAGAGTACGTTCACAGAAGTGAAATATGCTTGCGTTAAGTGGCTTAGTGGATGGGAAGTTTTCTTCTGAAACATTAAATGTGGCCTCTTGAGTCTGATCGGCCCCCAACCCAAACGTCAGCTCCCAGTCAATAACTGGCATTCAAAAACAAGCTTTCCCACTTATTGTAGAGCAGTTATCTGCTGGCTAACTCCCCGTGGCAACGCCAGACAGCTCGGGCTCCAGGCGCAGCTTCTCTCACACCCCTAATCCCGACAGCACAGAGAGTTCTCCAAGGGGAAGCCAGCCAGCCTGCGAACTTCTAAAAAAAATAAAAATAAGGAAAGGAGGAGGCCAATTTTCACCTATCGCTGTGATCTCTAAATTGCCTTTAATAAGCTCCTGCAATAATGCAGGGAGCTGGGATTGCGGGCTGCTCGTCTGCGAAGGAGACAGCTCTATCTGCAAACTGTGGCTTCTGCCTCCGTCCCAGGCACATTAACTGCATTTATCTCCTCCCCCAGACTGCAGGAGCAACCAGCAGCTCGCGACTTTGGCACCTGCCCTTTATCGGGCTGTTTATGCCTAAGTCTTCTAAAAGCCTGATTGTTCAGCGTGGACTCTCCCCGCCTTGCACAGCACACGGTTAAAAGCATATGGTTAAAACAGCGTTAATTACACGGCTCATCTCGAACGGCAATCAGCTTGCTTTGGGACTCCAAGGGAAAACCATGAGCTGGAGCTTCCGTTTCCCACCTGGGATTAGCTAAGCGGGCGCAGGATCCCTTTGCTCGCAGGGATGCTGTTTCCGCAGGGCCGCTGCTAACAGCCGTGCTCGCCCCCAGCGCAGGGCGGCAGCGGGGAGCGCTGCGGAACCCAGGAGCCGCCTTACGCAGATCGGGACCGTGGCTCCAAGTGCTGTTATTTTTAGTTGATGTCTACTCAGGTCTGAACCCCAGTCTGAGCAGCACACTCGAGGTGCAGGTAGGTGCGATGCCGCTCATGTCCTCCACAAAGATAAGCAATGTGAGAACATCTCCCGTGCTGAGCTGCGTGCGCTACATCCCTGCACACATGGCAACCCACCAAGGTCACGGCTGCAGGGTGGCAGGAGAGCTAAAGCATTGCTTCAATCCTCATTTTGTTTTTCCCCAAATCCTAACCTCTTTATGCTCCTACCTCCTCCCTCAAGGTGCTTAAGTAATTTCGAGGAGGTGGGACCAGGTTCTCTGTGTGGTCTGTTGTGCTTTTGAGCGTTGCTGTATGCAGAAGTCAAGGATGCCTTGCAAAGGAAGCAACAATTAACTGACAAGTCAATCTGCATATTCCCAGCATTAAACTTTCCCAGCTTTTCATGCTGTAATTACACATGGGTCATGTCAACCCTGACGTAACAGAAGACCCCTTAATTCCTCTGCATGTTTTCCAAGCTGGTCCCAACAGCTATCCAAAACCCACCTATCCAAATTGCCTTGCACAAGCTAATATGCAATAAAATAATGTCCTTTCAGTAGACTATAGGAGCTGCGCTGTGCATTGAGGTGGTTTCCAGCTCTGAGGAGTGAGCTTACAAATGGGAACTCATGGTACAGGCAAATGAAACATGAGTATGGCTGCTCCCACCTATGCGGATAATAAAGATACATGGATTAACGCATTCTCCTTCACTTAGCTGCAGAAATTGCCTGCTCCTGCCAACATACTGTGTAATTGTATCTTCAGCTTGATCTTAAGATGATTCTTTCTCAAGCTTTGGAAGAGCTTTCACTGAAAACCTTAGATTGAAGCGGCAAGACATGAGAAACGGTGAGAACTGTGAGATCCTTTGGAGACAAGTGTGAGGACAGAGGGCCAGAAGATTTGCAGTGAAATCGCTACCAGAGAGAATCGCTTGTGCTGCTCATTGCTACCAGCTTTGCAAAGAAAGGGACTTGTGAGCACTCACAAGTCCATGTCTGACATTACAGACATTGGGGTCAGTGTCCCCAGCTTTCCACCATTCAGAAGAGGAACCTGCTCTGACCAAACTGACACTCAGCAAGAAGGCTTTGAAATACAGGAGAAAATCCAGTAGGTGAAAATGGGCAATATAAAGGAATTAGCTGTCAGAATGCAAAGCATTCATGTGGTAACTCTGCCCTGAAAATCATGTATTTTAGAGGAAAGGTAAGTGCTACAAGTCACACCTTCAGCATCCTTAAAATGGAAAGTACTCTGCTGCTTGACAAGGACTTAGGGGCTTAACACTTCTGCAAACATTTTCATCTGCTGACTTAAGCTGCAAGACAAACATGTAGTTTCGGATGCCGTATATCACAAAAGTAATATACACAATGCACAAATGTAATCTGCACAAAATGTAATGCACAATAAAGTAAATGCACAAAAAGTAAATCTGATGGGATTTCATGCTCAAAAAAACATTTCTTTAAATTGTGACCCAACAAGTAAGTCATCCTGGTACACTTAAGTACCAGAAAAATGTTCATTTTTTTGTAAGTAACATTTCTTTTTTTTACTGATGGCTCTGTGTCAAGAAGGAACTACTGCAGCCTCCTAACAAGAATTGTCACAGCAAAAGCAAGCTCCCAAGAAGGAAAGGCAAAATATACGGTGTTTTGCTGCACCTTGGCTTTGCACACACTCCTACTGACTATTCCCAACAGCGTCACGTAGCAGAACACAAGCTGAAGGGCTGAGCGGAGGCTTTGGATCCAGCAACTCCTCTGTTATTATTGGGGCTATTTTTGTACCGCTGTTCAAAACCCAGGCTCTAGACCAATCTGTTCCCAAGTACTTAAGTCTGATTGACTTGCTCCATGTACTAGCTCCGACAGGGAGGATGGAGGCAACAGTAGGAGAGACGTTAGTACATGCAGCCGGCTAGACAGCTCCCACTGAGTGTTTTAAAATTGCCATGGTATAAATAAATTACCAGCTGTCGCCAATGGCCATGTATACCCAGTATGCCTTATCAGATGGTAATTTCCTAAAGTTACAGTGAAAGAAAAGGGTCTCGAGAAGAAGCTCCCTCTCAGCAAGGAGTATGCACGAAAATGATTCTGCAGGAAGCAGATGGCATTTAAAATACACTTGGCAGAGTGGAGGGGGTGACATGGTGGCACACTTAAAAAAAATACACGCAATTCCCATGTATTTACTTAGGTACTTACACAGACTTCAGTACTGAAACCTCACATAGCCATTAATGGATTTTAGCTCCATAAAACCTGTCAAGTTGGTAAATCCCTCATGAGATTTGAGAGATTCTCAAAAGAGAACAGAGGGCTCTGCTCAGGATTATCTAGAAAGCTCATAGGCATGCTGGCTGCTCTCACAGGTCCTGGATTAATTTTCACTAAGTCGGTTTATTCTTAACCCCAGACTAAAGCCACAGAAATTTATCTTTGTAGCACTTTGTACAGAGCTAGATGGAGGTCTGGAACACTAGAGAAGGAAGAATATGATAATTAAAAAAAAAAAAAGATGATAATGTAAGTCTGGTTACAGCTTAACTGAATGAACAAGGTAAGGAAAGATGAGACTTCACCTAGAGGCATGATCAACAAAGCCTTAGCCTCAGCTAATGTTATTTCCTCCACACGGTCCAATTTAATAACAAGAAAACTCACCCAAATGTTTGGCACAAATGAGGAATGTGAATTAAAACATACCCGCAACTTCCAATGCTTATCACCTTAGATTGCTTCCTATAGAGAAAAAGGATGTTTGGACAACATATATGTAAAGCACATAGATGTAACCGTTTGGGAGCCCCGTGCTTGGATCCAGTAGGCCTGGGCACACTTACTCTCAGCCTGTCTTTGGGCAAAGCAACAGCTCCTTGCTTGATGATCTCCAGAACTCGCTCCACTGACAGCTCAGCTCCAGCTTGCTCCAGTCGGGAGCTGAAGAAACTGATCACCTGGAATGGAAAAAAATCAGAGCACATAAGCAAATAGCTGGAAAAGAGACCTTTTCATCACCTGACATACGAGGCTGACGTCTTCCTCACCTACATCAATATATCTGTGCTTCCTGAAGAAAAATCGTGTGTTGCTTGTGTTGGAATTAGGGTGACTTTGTTAGTGACAAGTTAGCACAGCTATTACTATTCTCCTGTTGTCGTTTTTAACAGGTGGATGAACGTACAATTAAACACACGCAACTGAATTAATAAATTTAGGCTTTCAAGTATTGGTATTGGCATAAACTTGTAGTTGTATCTATTAATAATATATATGGAAAAAAGTTTTTCCTGTTAAAATACTTCAAAAACTAGGCCAGGACAGGCATTATAAAATTCTGTTTTTTCTGTCTTTAATTTCTGAAACTAGTACATTGATTTCGAAGAAAAAAAGTGGATTAATATTACAATCAACTCGACAACACAGAAATATGTCAAAAAGCCAGCAATCAGTGATCAAAATAAATGTTTAGCAAAATTGGCAGTAATCCTGTCATAATCTCTCATCAGATTTGGACACAACAGCTCTAGCTGGATTCAGAGCTCATCCGTGCGACTGTGATGCTGCCAATCTTGGCAAAATTGGCACCGGCAGAGAAGAGCCAGTGTCTATGCCCCCAGCCTGGCTGAACGAGAACCAAAGAGAGCGATTACTGAGATAAAATAAAATAAAATAAAATAAAAAGATACAAACCACTCATGAATATTCAAAGGTGAAGGTTTGAGTCTTGTTGGAAAAGCAGAGTGTTGAACAGCATGGGACACATGCACCAGGGACTACTGATCATAACACAACCACTGGTAATAGCACCAAGCTCCAGTCTCAAATGCATTTATTTGCACTTATCTTGCTCTTCAGGATTCTTGAGGCTGTCAGGGCTACCTACTGTAGTTTCTGCCTGCATTTTTCATTTTCAAGAATTAAACTGATTCTTATACAGTTAATGATTCCAGGACAGAGCCCTTTAAGACGACTGCTAGATATCTTGATGCAGTTACAAGAGCTGGTATCAGTTGGCTATTTTCTTTTTTTAATTATTTTTGTGTAGCACCCAAAGCTACAGCAATTTAAAAAAAAAATGAACAAAGCCCCTCTTCTCCCCAAATTAACCACCCACCCCAGCACGCCCATGCACTTTGCTGACCACAGTTCCACACGTAGGAACTTGCACTTTCCCTCTCAATACCCATATTCTCCATGCACCTCCCGGTGAGGCCAAGCTGATTTTCACCTTATTTTCCCCCTCTTTCTTCTGTGACCCAGCTGGTCCTTGTTAGCTGGAATACAGTTAGATCAAGCTTCACCTTTTATCCCTCTCCAAGCTTAGTAGGTCGCAACAGAAGCAGACATCCCAATGTCAATCCTCTAGGTGGGACATCAGATAATCTCCACTTGTGTCTCCTTTCATCCCCCAAAGAGCGGATTTTGCCAATGACAACCCCTATTCCAGAAGAACTTCTCATAGAAGGGGTCAAAAACTTGGAAGAGAAGAGTATGGAAAGGAGAGGGGACACAATGTGAGTGAGTCCTTTGGAGGAAACACAGGGTGGTCAGCGCCCTCCTCCAGGCACCAGGTCTGCAAGGTGCCTGTGTTATTCACTGTTCTGCCAACTTCCCAGACTTCCTATCTGCTTTGGACACACTCTGCTTTGAAAGCAGCACTGCCCACTTGTACCTGAACCACAGGCTCCAGCACACTGAGCAATCTCTGATAATTCTCCCCAAGTAGCAGGGGGAAAAGTGTAGAGCATTATAAAAATCTGTGCCGAGCTCTCTTTGTTCCGGAGCGAGACACAGCTGGAGCCAGAAACCATTACCCTAATTATGCCTCACAGCTCAGCTGCTGTTAATAAAACAAAGACAGCTGATGGCTTGATTACCCTGGGATTCAAATTTGTTGTTCCTCTCCTGTGATCCTAGAAACTCTGGCCCTCGTTTTGAGCAGGTAGATCTACCAGATTGCAGAGCAATTTTCTCTAGAAACTGTGAAGCACCAAACAAGGGAGATATGGACTGATTACAGTTGCCTGAAGTTGCTTTTGGGGTTTTTGGGAGCTGTTTTACTTCAAACAACACAAGTGTGGAAATCAGTCGAGGAAGAATTCAGGTGGCCTTCCATAAACTCCTTCCAATAACCCCAAGTACCAGAATAAGAGGACAGGATTTGATAAGAGGACAGATGTAGCTGGTAAGCCCCAGTCTTACTGATTATGACACTGGATCTCCGACCCATGAGAGAACGGAGGAGGAAGATGTGCCGAGTTCATCAGTGAAGTGCTGGAGAGGGTAACCAGAAATGATGCATCAAAAGAGCATCAATGGCTTCAGCATGAGGTGCTAGCTGGGAAACAGCTGCAGATTTGGCGTAGATTCTGGGACAAATTGCTGGTAGGGGACACACACACATATAGGAATGACAGAGGTGCCTATAGCCTTGGAAAGGAAAATGTTTCCCAGGTTTCACCACTTCTGTGTTGTGTCATCGCCGGCGAAACCTACGCTCAGCCAGGCAGGCTGGTGCAGAGGTTGCATCCCACTGCTGCTCCCTTGCTAGCTCAAGTCCTGCTAAACCACAACAAAAACACCGTTTTACATTAGGCTTTTAATCTGAGGGATAAAATACTATCATAACACATAATGTAATAATAGGCTTTTAATCAAAGGGATACGACGCTATAATGCAAGCATCTCCTACTTTGCAAAGTCCAACCCTCCAAATCTCAACCTGCTTTTGCAAGATTTTTCTGTAAAACAAATGTTTTTCTTTTTTGTGGTAAACCAGTCTTTGTTGAGTTGCATTTCATCCACAATAAAAGCAAACTGGGCTTCCAGTATTCCAGGGGCGAGAGTTATGCAGAGGACACACTAGAAGAGGTATTTGTTTTTTACCACTCTGTCAGTAATAAAACCAAAGAGAGGGAGCATTTTCCTCCCCACTGCCTGAATTCCTTTCTTCGTAGCCAAAGGCCAAACACTTAACCCAGTTACCTGCTCAAATATAAACGATGCAAATGAAAGCTTAACATCATTTTAAGAATAGCCTTTCCCTTTGAAAGCACTTCAGGTATTTTCTCCAAGGAAGTACCAAAGTGACACTTAAAATAATATTGAAAATTAAGAGATTTAAACTCCACGTCCACTTAAGAGGAAAAGGTTTGCAGCGAGTGGCCAGTCCCTTGTGTTGCCTGCACCCATATCACGGTGCACATCCAAAGCCCTTTCCATGCAAGCAGCTCCCAAAAGTTCTCTCAAACGTTGCTTCTATTTTCATAGAGATTCGAAGACATGTTAATATTGGATTAGTCAGCTCCTCCTCAGGGATACTTGAGCAGGATATAGATAAAATGGATATAGATACCGGGAATAGCCCGCGGCTCCGTGTGCATGGAGGTGGCTTGGTTGCACAGACGTGCCACAAGAATTTGTGCTGTTAATAATAGCAGAGACCTCTTAATGAAACCTCTTCTCCAGAGTGATCTCCAAAATCATTCTTCGTCGAGCTTCTCCCCTTAGGAGGTCTATCTTCCTGCAGAGACTCAGCTTTAGTACTTTTGTTTCATAGCCAATAAATTTACAGAATATTTCCAAAAAGGAAAAGTGTTGTGAGGAAGCTAGGGTAATGTATATGGATTTCAAAGAGGCATTTTAGGTCTCGGAGGGTTTCTTTTTTTAGCTTCTGAGGGAATATCCACAGCATCCATCACTGGGCCTGTCTATTGTTTCCGATAGCGCTGTTCTCAAGTATTGAAGCATTCGTGTTGATTTACTAGAGCAGCCACCGAGCAGCGGAGCCATCAAGGACGAGATGTTTTCTCCACTTGGATGCTTTCAGTGTAAGCTCAAGTGCTGCGAGGCCCCAACCCATCCCCAGCGCCGTGCCGCTGCCTGACACCACAACTCTTAACCCTCTCCCATCGCTAAAAATAACAGGGCCCTTCACGGCTGCCTCCTCTGCCTGCAGTTTTCAAGGTTAACGTTGCAAAAAGAGAAGAATAACTTGGCACCAAATTAGAAAGTTTGCATTCCTTTGTCTTCCTTTTTCTTTCTTTTTTTTTTCCCCCTCTTTGTAAAGTGATGAAAAGAGAAAGACACTTACATATTTTGACATGCACTATTTTACATTTCCAGCCTAGCTCCCCGCAGATTGAGCAACCCGATGTATTCGCAGCACACGGAAAGGAAGGAGGAGGGGGGAAAAAAAAAGAGAAAACAAACCTCTTGTCATAAAGTGCTACAGGATTAGCACTTCATCTAAGCAGATTCCTTAGGAAACCATAAATCAGCGCCAGGATGGGAGGCCAGTGGTCACACCCCCTGTCTCGGAGCAATTGCGAGGCAAAGACGACCCTCGCTGGAGCCTCCGTCCCACTGCTCCGGCCGGCTCCGCAGCACAGAAACGCGGCTCTGGCAGCACGCTGCAAGTGCTTGGGGGGGAAATTATATCAGATTAATCTGGAAACAGGAATATGTTCAAAGAGCTGTCAAGTTTTCAAGGTCCTCTGCTGCCGTGCTCCATTTTTCAATTTTTTTTTTAAGATAAGAATTGGTAGCATTTGGGGGCGGGTGGGAATCACTGAAAGGCTTTAGCCAGGCTCTACCAATTAGCAGGATCAAGGTTTTTCCACCAGCATTTTAAGGAAAGCCATGAAAGATTAGTTATAATATTCCCTGCAAGCCCAGCAGGGCTTGAAGCAAAAGTTGCTACTGCCGAGCCAGGGCAAAGCCACTGACTTTAAAAACCAGCAAGGAAATATCTTTGGAGAATTAAATTCTTCATAGAAAACTGCATGAATTTGATCCTTTAAATCGTTCAACTATTGCTCCCGACCTCCTGCTTTCTATCAGACTGTTTTGCAAACAAAATTCTCCCAGCTCCTCGTTGAGCCTGCCGAACGACACCGTATCTACCGCGGCCTCATAGAGGTCTTAGGAAATATGAAAGTAATGAAAGCCAACGAGTTCTCATCATGGTCACGAAACACATTCATCTCGAGTAATTACCAGTGAGGAGTTTCTGCCAAATTCCTGACACATCTGAGATTAGTGACCAAATTACAGACCACCTCTGAAACAGAGGCACACAGATAGTTTACAGCTGAGACATTTCCGTACCCGGCCAGCGCGGGAACGACAGCGTTCCTCTTTGTTCGGCATCCAGGGGAAGCAGCTCCTATTCAGCTAAACAAGATGCCCGCTATCCTCTTCAGATGACTTTCCGAAATGAAAAGTAAATTAATAGAAAACAGAAGGCATTTTGATTTCGGTTTCTTCTGCACAGCATTAGCTGCACCCATATGTTTTCAATCAGCTGGCAATGGCGATTTTTAGCTTATTTATAAAAACCAAGAGGCCGATGATGTAAGTGGCTTTCAGTGGAAGTAACAGTCGAGCTAGCGATGACCCTTAAACATTATTACTAACAGGAGAAAGGTTTTAGCTAAACCTGTCTGCGGATCCTCCTTACCGCATTTTACACCAGTCACTTGTCCTGCAGGCCACAAGCATGAAGAGCAGAACATCACATCGTCCTCAGTCTCCCTTCAGTTCATCAGCACCGAGTCTACTTGTCCTTGTAGGTTTTCTACAGCTCTATATTCCCCCAAAATCACGCTGCTGGCCGCCAGTTTTCTGCGTGGTGCCCCAAAGCTGAGCTCTTTGGCCAGCACATCCCTCGCCCGGGCAGGCTGGAGGGGCACCTCGGGGTTGTGCTGCGTTTTGGTGCCCACGCACCACTCCAGCAGATGCATGTTGCCACTGGCACCGTTAACTACTAGTTACTATTTTCTCCCTACATTTTCCAACCAATTTGACATCCACCTTTTGGTATTTTTACCTCTTCTAGGCTTCCCTATTTGGCTTATGAGAACATCATATGCAACAGAGTTAAAAAAAAATAAAAAAGCCTAAAGATATGTCATATCTACTTTGTGTGTTCCTGACAAAGCAACATGGCAAGTTTTTAATGTCACAAAATCATTACAGATTGCACATATCCCACATTTCAGTCAGCTATCTTTAACAGAGGCTATTAGCATACTATATGTTAGTATCCCCATATGAAATACAAATCTGGACTACAGTTTAGGGTTAGATATTTTTATGCCCAGTATTGAGAAGTATTTTGCTGAAGGCTTCCACCTACAAGGTTTGATGCTGCCAGCGCAGTAGAGGGACCCCAGTAGATCACAGAGGGATACACAGGGTTTCTGCAGCTGGGTTAGCCCAGCGGCATCCGATGACCAAAATCACGCTCACATTTCCACTCGAGGATGGAGACAATCCAAATGTTCTCAGATGGACAACAAGCAGCAAAAGGTAATGATGGACGGGCTCTGCAGCACAGAGCTGGGCAGAGGTGCTTCACAAAGGTGGCTTCTCCTCCCACCCACGACCCAAGGTGGCAACCATCTACCTACAAGCTACAAGCTCTGGGACCATCCCTGGGCCAGAGAGGCAACTTCACAGCTTTACATTGAGCACACTGTACTCAATGCCAACTGAGGTCCCCGCTGCATGGGGAGCTGGCTGATCCAGCCCCCTTCGAACCGCCAGCTTGGTCACACCAAGAGCCTGGCCACCTTCCCACCCAACTGCTGACCCTGGGCCGTGCTGGATGTTTAAAGAAAGATGTAAGAGGAGGTCAAGAATAGCAAAATCTTCCCCAGGAGTAAGTATAACCTCGCAGCTTCCAGCAACATGCAATTTAGGAATTTCTCGAGCCAACAGTGGAGCCACATTTTTGTGCTTTGCAATCTTTAAGGGATTTTTTCTTTCTCCGTGAGCTTTTGACCCTTTCTTGGAGCACATCTGTACAATTCACAATGTCCTGTGGGGGCCACGAGGGTGAATGGCTGGTTCTGTGCAGGAAGGTGGCAGTGCTGACAGCATGCATGAACTGCAGGACGTGACAGGGTAGCAGAGGAGTCAGTTGAATCTCATCTTTTATTCAGATCCGCAAGCCTGACAGCTCTCACCACTTGCCAGCTGGTGACAGGTACATTTTAGAAAAAAAATAATTTTTTTTTGACATCCTCACTTCTCTAACAAAGGAGCTATTTTAAAATTCAAAATTCTCCCTTGGAAAGCTTTAAATAGTTTCAGAATGTAACTGACATTATGCTGTAACCCAATATTAAGTAGCTGTGGAGAGGAACTGTTTCAATTGTTGAGGAAAAGCTCCATTTAACCGCTCCAAAGGAAAGGACACGCTGCCTTCTTGGGAAGGCGTGGGACTGTCAGGCAGGAGGCCCCAGTCACCACTGGTTTCCCTCAGTTTGGATCAGGGAAGTTGAAAAGTTCCCTGTCTCAGATGGGAACAAAGGATGCGGTCATCTGGACTGCGCCACGTTCCCTCTTTACGCAACGTGAAGATAACTCGTCCCAACCATGCAGGCAGTGTCTAATGCCTGTACTCGGCAGCTGCCAACAGCCTGGGAGCTCTGAGCTGGAATCCTCCAAGCTCCAAGTTCTTGCAGGACCAGAAAAGATGAAGTGAGAACAGAAGAGGAAGGGCCAAGGACAAACAGGATTGAAATCAAATGTTAATGTCAAGAGTACAAGTTACTTCCCCTTATGGGGCATCAGAAAACTGTCAATCCTCTCCACTATTTGAACGTAGAGGCCAAAAGAAACAGAAAACCTCTGTAGATCTGTATTCTCATGGAATAAACACTGCAGCAAGAAATTTAGCAGCCCGTTCAGCTCATGCTTCCCATATCTTGCATCCAGTGGTCACGGCATGACCTCAAGTATTGCTCAGCTCTGCAAGTACCGACTAGAAGAGAGAGAAATGCTCATTACACTTCAAATCTGTTATTTTCTAGCAGGAATCATCACTTGCTTTCTCAATATAAGTATTAAAGCTGATATTAGATGGTGCAGAAATTACTCAGTAACTGTTTTCAAAAGCCACCTTCTAACATGCTGTCAGTGAAGAGTTACACCAACAGCAGGTTCTGACCCACAGTGATTTCTTTTTGTTTCCTGCTAAAATTTCTACCTTCCCAGAAAGCTTACAGACAACTGTGGATACTTCAGAAATGAAAGTAACTTAAAAAAATCAAGGACAACCCAGAGAATGAGGCACTTGCATGTCTGCTCTGAGCTGTTTAAGAAAGTCTCTCATAATCGTTTATTCAGTGTAAAGAATGGAATAAGAGAAAAGACAACTTGATGATGAAATCCTGCTTTTTCTGTCCAGAGAGGTACTCTTCTACAAGAAGAAATTTAAAGTAGACACTGTCCTTCCTTAGGCACATGAAAGATTTGCCACAGATTGGGAATTCCTTCCCAAATTCCCTGGGTCTGCCGAGGAAGGATGTTTCCCACAGTAAATCTCAGTTACAGCCCAGAAAACAGGGGAGGGAAACTCAACATTTTAGTAATTTCTAAAAGAAACTGCTAAGGGACAGTGAATGTTTTGCACCTCTTGATAGGATGCACAACAAAGTATAAGCACCCTTTAAATAACTATTACTTACCAGATCTATATTTTGCATGATGTCCTGGAAGGAAGGGTGAGTTCGAAACTGCTCGAACAGCTCCCGCTTGTAAAGCAGCGCGTACACCAGGTTCGGGTTGTGGTGCAGGGAATTGGTCAAGCAGGAGTTGATGATCTCCAGCATCATTCGGATGACCTCCTCGATCACGTTCAGGTCCTGCGCCTTTAAGAAAGGAAGAAAAGGTGAGCGTGCCCTTTTCCATTGTAAAATATATTAGGTAATCAAGATGGGGCGCAGGTAATTATTACTAATGGAGCTATTAGCTGGCTAATGTCTCAACGGTGAACGAATCTGGCGTTCCTGGATGTCTGGGAAGAGCTGTGTTTACTCCTGCAAGTACCAGAATGTAAAGCAGACATTTAGCTCTTAGCTCGAGTCTCTCAACAGGAGCCATCTTCTTGTCCAAAAGAGCACTAATATATTGTAGGCAGTCAAACTCACTATGGGGTACGTGAATTTAGTCTGTCAGTCCTTCCTGTGCTAAGTAAAAGCAGTTTGGGCCATGTTTAATTTACTACATATTCAGCTCAGCCCTTGTTGGAGGATTTGGTGAGAGGTCCCCCCATAAGGCATAGGAAAAAAGAAGTCAAATCTACTTTGCTCATATCGCTAGATCGCTCACACATAAAAAACTGCAATGTGAGAACAAGGAGAATCCTCCCTAGTTTTTCTAGCTGGTACAAACTGAACAAAGTGGTCTACAAAGAAGCCTACAAAGCAGTCATGTTCTGAGCTCTCACAAGGCACTCAAGTAGTTGATGACAAGGCTGGCACGTTACGGATTTTCTTCTCAATGTGAAGATCTCTTTTTTCTTTTTAATTTTTTTCTTAAACTGCCTCAACCATCTGATTACCTTTGCTGTTAGCTAACCACATTGGCAGAACCCCTTACAAAACCGCTCGCTTAACCTGCCAGTGGCATCGGAGTCTTCTGATGGACTCGATCCCTATACTCGAGACAGGGGCAGGTCCTCTACCTGCAGTCTCCCTGGTGACGTGGCACAGAAGAGCCTCACAGTTGGACACAACGCAATGCAAATGATACAAAAATACAGGATGTGTAACTGCTTCATCGGGAATCCAGGGAAAAATTCCAACCTGGCTAACACGTTTGCAGAGCAGTACTTGCCTACCGAGTTGGGCTTGCTTCTGAGTATGGTGGCTTCTGATTAAGGTGGCTTCTGAAAAGCTCTTCAGCTGCTGTAGGCTCCACACAAGCATCCAAAAAGAGATCCTAAGGTGACATGGATGCTTGCTGTTCTCCCCAGCTTTATTTTGGCCAGGTAACGACCATGACCGTAAGGAAACTGCAAAACCCCATCCACTTTTGGGTATCAGAAATGCAGAGCCACACGACAGCTTTTCAAAAACTATTTTTTCACCTTAAAATAGGGGAATAGAGAGAGTTTGCAGAGAAAGTCTTACAAACCACATTGTAACCTGGTGGCCAGAACCAACTGCCTGGCTCTGCTTTCCAGCAGCAGCTCCAGATGAAGAACCTGGAATCCCAGCCATGAAAGCAGGTAGCTATAGAGCAGCTTTTTACCTACAGCTGAGCATGCTACAAATAGCTTTTATACAAGGAATTAACTCTACAAAAGAGTGCAACGCGGGACTAAATCCCAGCATTGCATATATATTATCTGCAGAGCTGTGCGCGCCTATAATTAGCGATTAAAAGCATTCTTAAAAGCTTAAAACTTCTCAAAACAGGAACAAACAAACAGAAAGCCAAGGCCAGCGCCCGGATGAGACAATGGAGGGATGCCGTAAGCGCTGATAACACCGGCGTTTCTGGGGCTCTGCATCCCCAGCATCCCGCAACGGCCCCTCTGCATCGAGGCACGGCGTCAAGGCACATATAAATAAGGTTACAAAAACATTTTGCAGCTAAAAGACAAGACTTTTATCACTTCGGTAATATCTTTCAGACCGGTTGAACGCAGCTGCAACCCAGAACGTGTATGACGGAGGCAGCAACATCAACCACAGCAGCGATTAATAATTTTCTGGACTGGATTTGGCTTTTGCAAGACATGGGGGGCGGCAAGACACTGACTTTGGGGCAAAGGTGTGATGAAATAGCATTTTCAAATAAGAGATTAGGTAGAAGTGATAATGTATTCCTATTGCCAATAAATGACAAGTTGCACATGCCTTGCCCATTTTAATTTATCACAGTCTTCCTTTGCAAAATATCACCTATTTAATGCTGATGCTAATCCTGATGAACATCACTCAAGGTCAGTTTTTTTGTCTTTCTGATTATGTCTGTAGAAATGACCAAACTCATCATTAAAAAAATAAAAGTGGAAAATTAAAGACTTGGTACCCAATTTCTGCGATGGAGATCCGGCCAACAAAAGGCAAGAGGATGCGGCAGAGTACTAATTTTACTGTAGGTAATTCTATGTACCGCATGTTTCCTTCTCAGGATAGGAATTAAATGTGTTAAATGTCCGAAAATATTTTCAGTTTTAAGCAGAAAGAGCCACAGGAAAGCACCAAACTGGGCATGGACACATACAGAAGACCCAGGTACCATCTGGGGGAGTCTGCGCCCTTTTAGTCAAAAGTAAATGGAGTGAACAAGGCAATGCTAGAGAAAAGAGAATGGAAAAAAAGCAGAGGGGCCGCAGAGGAAAATGTGGCAAGCCCAGAAATGGGAACATTCACTAGAGAAAAATAATGAGTTTCACACCCGCTAACAAGAAGCACAAGCTGGAGGCGCAAATGGTCCAACTGTGGGTAGAGCTGCATGCTCCAGTCTCCAACCAACACGAAGTCCCGCCTTCTTTTTAATTGAAATATAAGTAATAATTAGCTTGACACGCTGCTTGGCAAAGCATTTTGGAGTCTTCAGGAGTGATGCAGCACTAAAATGCCACTCTGTGCTGCTGTGCAAGAGCAGTTCAAAGCGACACTGCTGAAAACCCCCTTCATTTATCATACCTGTCCTTCAGTTACTGCCGTCTCAACATTGTGAGGGCTCTTCCTCTTCATTTAATTTGATATTAATTTTAATTTTTATAGCAATAGAGGGCTGGTTTTAAAGGGCCTATCAGGAATGAAGGCAAAGCTCCAGCCTTGAAATGTTAACAATTCCTAAGAAAGAGGCATCTCCATGTATTATTCAAGTTAACTTTGCTTAATGGTACCCCAGGTCTTCTCTGGTCTATGAAAAAATGAGATAAAAATTACTTCACTACTTTTTGTTCCTCCTATATACACAAAACAGGCATGTAAAAATCAGAATTGCACTTAGTTGCAGTCTTATGAAGAGGTATTTATATGCAAGGGTGGACATAAGCTCTACATTACGTTTCTGAGAGAAGAATGCTCCGGCTGAAGTCACTTGCCATTCACACCTGAACCAGATTAACCCCAGCGTTCCCAGACAAACACCAACCACAGCAATTGCAGTGACAGAGCCCAATATTTAAATGGCAACTGCAAAATCAGGAGCCAAATAATTACAGCTTTCTGCAGGCACAAATAGAATTCTCATCTCTTGCCTATATGTTATACTGTAATATGATGTTATTTCGTTGCAAGCTAAAAATGACTTCAATGCTTTTTTGTCTATTTTGTTTTGAGCCCTATAGTGCAATCCAGGAGTTTTAACACAGATCCCTGCCTAGCAGCTCCAACTTCCCAGCAGTGAGAGTGGCTCCGGCCTCGCGCTTTCGCTGCTAGCTCCGACTGCCCCCTCAAGGTCGTTTGCTCCCTTTGCCTTTCCGTGCGAGGCCACGTCCATCCTTCCAGCCCGGCACCGGGCAGGGAGATTTGAACTATTTATGTATATCTATCTATCTATCCATCCATCCATGCATCCACATAAAGGTGAGAGTGAAGGTAGCCCAGGCAGCCTCAATTATGGCCTTTCTTATGTTCTCTGCACTCACTCTTGACACCTCCCTGCAATTCTTCACATGCCACAAATCACCGAGATTTTGTCTACTTCTTAAAATAGGAATTCATGAACATATTTTACAAAAATGTGCAATCATGATCAATTATGCTCATGGAAATGACACGATGTGAAAGGCAGCTTTGTCAACAACGGAAAGCAAACGGATACACAGAGCACACACCTAATGCGTATCAAAAAGACACAGCCTGCCGAATTAACCCCAAACAGATGGCTAATTCCCTTCTTCTTTTCCCGAGGGATGAGTGAGGAGGAAAGATTTGGTGAACTGGAGCTCCAGGTCCATCGCTGCACCCACTGTGCAGCCTCAGGGATGCAGCCTCAGCTCATTTTCCATTGCCCTTTTTCCCAGCGAGCTGCACGGATGCTGGGGACGGCTTCCAGCAGTGGCAGGTCTGCATGCTCGGTGCTTCTCTCTTCCACCCCTGCTTGCAAAGCTGCTCTTAGAAACCCCCGTGTACTGCACTATTGCAGCAAACAAGTTGGCACTCCAGGGAATTTCACCTTGATAACATAATTTAACCGCATCCACGCTTACAATTATGTAAACTTCCCTTTCCTCTTTAGAGGGGAGTTTCGACAGTTAAATAGTTTCAAATAATTTACTTTATTTTTAGTTGCTTTAGGAGAAGCATATGTATCTTGTTTGTATTAGCTTTGGGAAGCTTCCAAGAGAGCTGTCTGAATTTCCTGCGTTTTCAGCAGAAAAGAAAACCTTCAACAAAATAAACTCGCTTTGCCAACGGGGTGGAAAAACAGGGGGATGGAGAGGGGAAGAAGGAAGCACATGAGGAGGCTGTTCTTATATTCAGTGCACAAATGAACTTCAAAGCCAGTCATTTGGAGAGAGCAACCTTACCGCTCTATGGCATGCAAACAGCGTAATGCACTCGCTGTCACAGGTCCAGTCCAGCTAACTTTTGGCCATAATGTTTAATTGTGGGGAGGTAAGTATTAAGTTAAAAATTGCAGGATATATAACCTAAAAATTAACCCAATTGCCTGTCAATTCCTCCTTAGGATTGAAAGTAGGGCTGTCACATCAGGGCAAAATTTGGTGCCAGATATTTTGTTAAATAGACCTACTGTCATGACACTCCGTGCCATGGCCTTCTGGAAGGACCACGCAAGCAGTCAGTGCCCCCACCGGCTTGTCATCCAGGCCCAGCTGGTAACACAACCTCACCGAAGAGGGACACGTTCTTCTAGATGGTATCACAGTGAAAAATTT